GGGGAGGCTGGTCAGTGGCAGAGGGCACAGGTTGCTCGTGGACACGGGCTCGAATGCCGGTGACGGTGACGGTAGACAGGGGTTGTTAGGACGTCTGTTAGCTCGGGAGGGCATGGATACTGATTTACAGCCAGTAGTCACGGCATCACGCCTCGTCCCGAGAAGAGCGCACTTCTCGTAAATAAACCTGTTATCTGCGACAATTTTTCTTCCATTTTTTGCCACGTCGGCATAAATCACGCGCATTCGTGAATCTTTTACAGTTTTACAGACTTTAGGTCCCGATCTCGTTGATCATTATTCGGCCGGAGAAACGAACATCTATGGAAACAGTTTTAGATACGCGTTCGTACGTTCGGTTTTTACCGTTTTTGATAATCTTTCTGCGTCGTAGGCACGATAATTCATAAACGTATCGAATCGTCGACCGGAATTGTTCCGGGAACGAGTGATTACGGCGCGAGAGTGAACCATTTTTTTTCCGTTTCATTTACAACGGGTATAACGTCGTTTTGCGGCCGAGTTTATTTACGATTCCGCTGCTCGACGCACGGTGCACGCAGGGAATCGTTGTCCTAGCTTGACCCGGTCAATAAAGACCCTCCTTCGCTGTAACGATCACTTGTTTGCATGTCGTTATATCCACCAGTTTCGTCGAAGAACTCTCGCTTATGCGTTAGGATCGCCGATCGTTGTTCGGTGAGACCGAGACACTATTCTTTTAAAGAACGGTTCGATACATGGCTGAGTTTCAGGTTTCAGTCCTCTCATCTAATTTTATATTATCAGTTCGGTCGAAAACTTTCTGCCAAGAAAAATTCATCGAGACCGGTTTCGAAGTTGCCGAGTCTACTCCGTTAAAAATTACTCCGATAACTTTTTCACCTCGGCTATAGTTGAACGGATAAAAGAACCGCGAACTCTTGCCGAGCAATTAAACTATTTCGGGAGGCATGCGAACTTCTTCGAAATTGTTGTTATAGGAATTCTTACTCGGATTCTTTCTAAATTTCCGATATCGAACGAAGAGATGGTCTCGGAACGAACTTTTTCTATCGCTAATCGTTAGATCGTTGCATGCGAAACGTCGACGTTTCAATGAGTTTATCGGTTTGAACATTTTCGAACGATCGATTAATTTCATTGCTGTACGTGTGTCGAAAATATCTGTCAATTCTCACAGATAATTATTAATTTCATCTTCGATTGCATTTACGTCAGCGAACGATGGCTGGTAACGTGATGGGTGATTTTCTACTTGACAAACAAGACGTTTTATATGCGGCAACTTGATACGAAATGAGAAAACGTCGTTCTTTCTTATTTCTGGTCGCGAACGGGGAAGATGGAAGAAGTTAGGTGAGGTCGAGGCAAAAGTAGAGAAAGCAGTGGGAGGCAACGTTACATTTTTTAAAGCAGCCACCTGGCACGCGTACACGGTTTATCGCGACCTTTCTCCCGACGTCTTTCGCCTGCGTGCAGACTTCTTTAAATATTTACCGCGGCATTAAAGCACCGCTTTTATTTGTTCGGTTGTTTGTCGGGCCAAATTGGCAAGACTCCACCGTGCGGAATATTGACTCGAGTAATTTTTACTTTTACGCCGTTCGCATGACTCTGCAAGTCCTTCGTCTAGCTGGACTCGACTCTGTGACACTGAACAACGATACTTAAAAAAAAAATGGAAATAGTAGAACGATGGTTTTATATGTATTTCGATATACACGATGTTATATATTCGACAGTGAAACTTTCTACGTCTTTATTTATTCTTGTTTTATCACGTTTGACCGAAGTTTTGTATCAAAGGTAGTAGAATCCGAATCTTTGACTCGACACCTAGTTTCACAATCCAGTTTTCGTGCAGGGTTGAAGATGGTAGGGAATCTGTGAGACGTCCTTTAAATCTTAAATTATCCGAAGGCGTTTTCTACGAAACTCCGTGTGTGGTACATGAGTAGGAAGGTTTACGAGCTTAACGACGGGACTCAAACGGTCTCTTTGGAAGTTCGGACTGCTAGCTACGTATTGTCCTCCCGTTGCCCGTGTCCCAGGTTCCTTCGACGCATCGCGCCGCCACGTTAATGAACGGCACCGTGACTTCGTTAATGCCGTTAGTCACGAGGCTAATCTCATAGACATGTGGAAATTAGATTCCGTCTCGGATGCTGCCTTTCGGGGGGCCCAGTTTCCCTACAAACGAACAAAGTTTCGTCTCGTCTCTCAACTTTTCCTTCTGCTACTCACTTATAAATATAAGTTTTCTGCTTGGTACTCGGTAATATTTATTAGTACGTATACTATTAAAAGATCCGCATAGAGAAATTCTTAAACTAGATCGTAGTTCTTCGCTTGGTAGCGTTTGCAAAGACTTTACAAACGCTACCAACCCAGGTCTCACCGCGTGGAGGTGACTACGTTCGAGACCCGGACAGTGGACAATCCCCACTGCCCCCTTCCTTATTAAATTACCACTCTATTATACGGAGCGACTATGGTAAGAGATTTTATACGATTGCGAACAAGACTCTAACTATTGACTCTAACTATGGATTAACTAATGACTCTAATTGGTAACTAAGGTGAGAACAAAATGCCAGATTTCACTCGGGTAGCCAGAGTTCGAGCCGAGCAGGACCCTGCACCCGAATGACCGTACCCCTGCGCAGGAATGCTCTGACCACGGCCACCCCGTCTCACCGCGTAAAGGACCATTCGATCCAGTGCGCCTTACTGCGCGTGTACATGGAACAGGAACACCCCCAGCGCCTTACGGTGCAGGCCACCGAGATACAGGACCACAACTCTTTTCTCCCCCCGGTACTCGAGCGAAATCTGGCTGGTAAACTACTATTCGCGGCGCGGGTAAACTAAAACGCGAGCAAAATGGATTGACTGAAAAGAGAGAGAGAGAGAGAGAGAGGGATGAAGTTAAATTCGCTCCGTTATAGGGTGGAATTTAGGAAGGCATACTGCATACTAGTACCGGTACCCACACACTCATACTCATACCGCACACGCATACGATTCGCAAGGGATGGGGAAAGGGATGACTCGACCGGCGTTCGCACCGATCGAGTGACTCGAGGAGCGCCGGGGCCCTGTACTTATACCCCTCTCGGCGATCAACGGATTAGGCAAAATGACGTTTGCGCAAAATGATTGGTCGATTCTTAGCTCCTGATTTGCATATTCGTTTCCTCCCGCATTTATCGATAATCGGGCAGCATTTTTTGGGTCATTCCAAAGGGAATGACCACTTGACCACTGACTTTAAGTATCTACCCCTAGAATTGGTCATCTGGTCAAGGATCGCGAAATAAAAATTCTGAGATTCATTTCTATTCATTTATTAATTAGAATTTAGTCGACTTTTATCTTAACAATATTTTTTTAAATTCATTTTAACATTCATTGGCACATACATTAAATTATTGAAAGAAAGGAGTAATAATTTCCGATTTTAAATACCCACTTCCAAAATTGGTCATTCGGTCAAGGGTCGTGGAATAAAAACGCCAAGATCTTTTTCCATTCATTTATTGATCACGATTTAATCGTTTTTACGACACATTACATTTACAATATATTATAACAGTTATTACGACTATGAAACGTATATAAATATTCAAGTGGGCAGGAATGTTCGGCACCTTAAACCGTATGATAGGTCAGCTGTAAAGGCTGATCAATTGTATTTAACTACCGGGATTAAAGTTAGATTGAAGAAAGAGCAGCGGGTTTCAATAGATTTCAGAGCGATGGACGATAATTCGGTCAGTTGTTCGATCCGGGAGATTTCTTGATCCTCATTAAAAAAGCAAACCCATTGAATTATCGTTAAAGGATTTCGTACGATCGAGACACGGGTAGCACGAGTTGAATTTGGATCGGGAACGAGTTGGATAAAGGGCGAGAAGTAGCTCCGTGTCCGACTCATCGATTCGACTCGCTACAATTATCCACTCTTTCGCATTTGTCTCCATTTTCTGCCTCGAGGACGGAATCGATTTTGCCTCGCGACATTCCTTATAAGTCGTTAATCCTTAGGATCTATTAATTGCGATCCTGATGGGACGAGAGCCCATTCGAGGCAAAGTTATATGGTCCTTGAAATAGGATAATGTCGAACCCGGGTTCACCGCGTAGCGTGATCAAGGAACTTTGATAGCTGTACTTCAGCATCAATCTCATCTTCGCAGGATCCGGCGTACGTACAATATCCGTTCCCTCGACGGCTCTACTTTCATCATTAGTTCTATATATACGTGCAATTTTTCTGGCCATTATAGTAGCGACGATCGCTAGGAATTGTTGTATCGAGCGTTACGACAATTGTTACATGAAAAATCGCATTTATCGTTAAGACATTTATGATAGAAATCGGTCGATCGAGGCTTTTTAAGAAAAATAAGTCGACGCTGGTGAATTGCTCGACGAAAAGTATGTTGGACCTCGATCAGCGTTCTCGGTTCGCGTTAGTAACGAGGTTATCGATAGTGGCAGAATCTTGCGGTAGTTGGTTATTCCTGAACGACCCTACGGGCGACGTGTACACGCGTAATATGGCACGTGTGTGGAAAACGGAAAGGAAGGACGGTGTCGCAGGTAAAAGCGAGATCCAGTTTCCCGTGAATATTGGATATCGATCCGACGAGCCTCTTATCAGCCCCGTTTCGCCATTTAAAGTCATAAACTCCCATCGCCGGAAACAAACTATGCATGATATTATAACGCGTTTGTCTCGCTCGAATTTTTGTTGGCCTCTGCTTCGTTTCAAATCACCGTACGTGACTGAAAATCGTATTACGTTCCCTCCAGGATATTTTACTATTCCTCCGAGGAGAACCTTCGTTCTTTTTAAATTAGATTCGTACGTACCACCGGTTCATGGCCGACTTATGAATAAACCCGCAAATCATATGCATATATCGAAAGACACCGATGTTCTCGTATGTCGTAAATAAACGAGTGATCCAGCACATGATTCTTGGTTGCAGATGCGAAGGAGGCCTCGCTGACGATGATCCACGAGACCAGAGCCTGAAACGTGAGTTCTTAATCAGAATCTTCGTACCTATTACGATAGTTTCTTTGAGGCAAACTGCCCGTTCTTCGTCGATTCGATGTCGATTTAAGCCGTATCGACTGACGCGAGGAACTCGCGTACCGGCGAGTAACTTCTCAAAGGCTGTCAGCCCTTGACCCAAATGCTGCAGGCCGCGATCGATCGGCGCAACCTGCTTTCGTACACCTGTTATCTCGCTCTCTATTTTTAAACTCGATACGAGCGGGCCGTGATTCGCGATTCAAAAGTCAAAACCGGTACAATTTATCGGAACGATAACGCCGATAAACCTTTGGTTTTGACGTTCTTATCTCGTGGCGTACGTTGTTAAGATCGAATTGCGCCCGGTCTTGCCCAATGCCAATTATCGTTTCATACGCTATCGTATATTTTACGTTGCATTTTAATGCACCATTTTCTACGAACTAAGGAGGACTGCAAATCAGATTTAAAATCAGAGTCCCGTTCAGTGCTCGTTTCATCGTGGTCGCGTTACGTAAAAGCGAGTGTATATCACTGTCAGGGAGAGATCGTTGACACGAGAGGAGCGTGCGAGTCGTTACGCGAGCGTGTCGTCATCGGGATCATCACCTGGCCAGTCAGTCATTCATGCGAGCATGCGACACGCGTGACGCGCTCGTGTACGAGCGTCGCGACGCGAACCGACCAGGCGTCCGCGCGTTATTTTCATCGCGGCGAACACTATTTCCGTTGGGCTAGCGCCTAATCGAGTCTACGAGTCGAGAGTATTTATTCCTGACCGAATCGGGTCGAGAGGGACGGCGTCTGTCTCGTTCCCTGTTTCGATTTTAATCGCGTTCGTTCGAACAGCTCGATTCTACGTCAGAGATATCGCGAGTACAATTAAATCTTCGACGCGCTCGTCGCGTCTGTCGGAAGGTAATTTTTGCGCCAAAACACAGATGCATCGGTACCGAGTTCGCACCGTATTCTGGCAAATCTGAAAGGAACATCGGGCGATGCTTTCTCCGATCAGGGTGAGAGAGAGAGAGAGAGAGAGAGAGAGAGTTGGTGCGTCTCTTCGATTCCCTGAGTACTCGCACGGAACAACGATACGGGTCGAACGGTCGATCGGTGGGTCGGGGGGCGTCCGATCAAAAGTAGTCTCGGCGGCGGTCGGGCGAAGCCGAGGCGAGACGGACAGGGCCAGGAGGTGCGGTTACGCACGAACTAAACGCAGTCTAGCGGTCGCGTCGCATCGGTGTCGTCGCTCGGTGTTAGTTGGCCGGATTCGTAGGTAGGTCGTCTGGCCGACGGCCTTTCGACCCGGCGTCAGTTTCGCCCAGCCGCGGGCCATGAGTTGGACCCGTCTCCGAATCGGTACCGTCATGGATCCAGTTTCGAGACAAGGTACGAGAACATATTCTTCCAGCAGATCCCTTTCGCGTCCTGACCCCATGACGCGTCTCGTAAAGCATCTTTTTTTTTTTCTCTTCGAATCGATGACGCGTCGAGCGGATCGGAGCATAAAATAATTTGTAGAGTCGGAGTCCGTTCGTAACGGAGACAAAACGCAGTTCGGAACGGCAATGGCCGATCGGGGACCGACGCAACGCGACGGGGACGCCATTTGTCGGCTCGCAAGAACGGTTCGACCGGTGAAAAACGGCGGTAATCTCGCCAAAAAATATACGTTCGTTCGCCGCGGCGCGCGGCAGCGCATTATCCCCCCTGGGCCGGCCGCCCCCTCCGGCTCGATTCGTTCCGGCTGATAAAAACGCGTTTTGCCGGCAGGCCGATACCGAATTTTTTTTATCGTCGACCGATTTCCGGCCACCTGTTTCCCGTTCATCGTCTTCCGAACCGTTTGCCGCCTTTTTTATCGTTCCATTTTTCGGTTTCGCTTACGTTTCGCGGAATTTTCAACGATGGCAAAAAGCGAATCGATAGCAGCGTGACAGGAGGAGGTTTTCACCCGGAGAAAGAGAACGGCCGATGATCGAGGCACGAACGGCAAAGGGCAAAAACAGGTGTGCGCGACGTGGGTAATTGAAACGCTAATGGACGGTAGGAAAAACTGCGACTAGAAACGGGTAGACGTTAATATTGTCACTGGGAGAAGGGGAAACCGGGAGAGGAAAGCGCCGCGAGGGAAAAAAGAGAGGTAGGACGACGGGCACAATGGGTAGCGTCGATCGCGTTTTACCGCACCGAGAATTTTAATCGACGCTTCCGGATTCTCGTGGCAGCTCTTTTGTCGCTCGTAATTTTCATTCGCCTAACGACTCGATCCTCGCCGCAAGAAACCGGCGTTTCCCTATCGTTAATCGTTGTCTCGCCATTATTTCATCCATTCATCGAACGCATGTTCCGACTCGTTTCATCGCTCATTCATACCCTCGCTCGACGGCCGTCGACCCAGCTTCGTTTTTTTCATTCTCTCGTGGCCGACGCGTTCCGTGCTAGATCGATTCCGCGACTGATACGAGCAACGACTCGAAAGATGAGTCGCGACTCCATCGAATCGAGACGAATTGGCGAAACGTTTGGTAACGTCGAACGCGAGTAGGAAAACCGACCCGGTTCGACGTGAACGAGCCAGAGTCCCGAAGCGGAGGCAGAGAAACGGCAAGATCTCCGGAGGGAGAAGGGACGGACCGCAATCACTGTGTAACGAAGACAACAAGGACTTCCTGCGTACTTACCAAGTGTACCGTCGGTAGTCTGCTCCGCATGCCGGGTGTTACAAACGGCTCTGACTCGTTCGACTCTGTAACGCCAATGAAGTCGTTCTCGAAAACTCTGAAAATCATCCGTCGTGTCCTCGTTTGTCCGAGTATATTTCATCGTTCCCGCATAAATTACGATAGTCTCGGGACGCGTGACCGCGAATCGTCCTCGCCACGCGAGCCTCGAGCCTGTTTACTCCTGTTCTCTTTCCGTTATCGTCACGCTCGTAGAATTCGCGCTATTTACTTTCGTGCCGCGAACGGTTCTAGACCTCCATGTACGGAGACCACCGTATTCGAGAGTTCTTTCGCGAGACGTTCCTCTTTGTTGTTCGACGAGCGGATTATACGCGAGCATATACGGGATCTAAAAATCAGCTGAGCGCATGAAACGCAGACCACAGCTCCTTGGAGTCGGATTTGTGCGGCGGGGCCGTGTCCAGTACGATAGAATTATGCGAAGATCTCGGTAGAATCCTCCCGTGGATTCCGGCGTCGACCATTTTCCCGGTGCAGAATCCCCGTGAACGTCTGTGTTCCCGAAACTCTGAAGTGTCTCGCATCTGGCAAACTGTACGAGCAAGTTCGATGGCTGGCCTTCCCGCGAGCTATCGGGATTATCCGTGGCTCGGTGTCTTCCAACGGCTCAGTCAGCTATTAGTTTCGAGGAATCGAGGCTGTGCGCGATCGCCTGACTCCGAGTTTAAGTGCTTCGATGATGGCTGAAACGATCGGCTCAGGCGACCTCCACAGTTTCAAAATTCTTCGAGTTCCCTTACTCTATTTTCCCTGCGACATGCTCAACGGGTTTGCTCTCGCAAAGAGACTCGTAACAAAAGGATTCGATACTAATAAAAGACCGGTAGACGCAGTTTCGCACGGGGTGTTCTATGTTCGGCCCGGTCTGCCCGGAAAGTCCGTAAATTCGTAATTAGAATCGGCTGGCTAATTTAATTCACGAGGCGAGGGGAGAGAGGCAGATTCTAAAAGCATACGGTGGCTCCGGAACGAAGCGATACCGGACGTACGGAATTCAGAATGAATTTATTGGCCGACGAGGAGAACCGTACGCTTGGACTCGCGCGTACACCAATGTCCGTTCGTTATTCGCGTCATCGCCGACACTTTCGATTCCGCGTTATCGACGTCGTCGTTTCGTCCCGTTCGCTGTAAAAACATTTCGTATACGAGTATCTGGGTCAAAGTTAGAGATAACCGCGCGACGGCATTGATCGTTGACCTTAGACGCGGACCAGACCATTTCCATCACGTTTTAACGAACTACGAACGACGACGATGACGATCGAATCGATATCTCGCGACGACCAGCGGCGGCTCGAAGGAGGTCCAAGGAGAATTTCATTAAAGTTAACGGGAACCCGGTCAAGTACGCTCGTAGTTGTGAGACCGTTTGAATTAAAGATCGGGTCGGTTTTCCAAAGGCTTCCAAGCGTTTACCGGTGGAAGCTGCGCGCATCCCCGAGCGGATCGAAGCGCTCGGCGACGCTCGAAACCGTGCAAACGTGCCTCGATTTCGCAGCCAATTACGCGGCACCGAGATAAACCTCCTACGTCTTACTTAATTCGCAAGCCGAATTCGCGAACGGAGTCACGTAGCGTTGAAAGGTCTCCCGCTTCCTCTCCCACGAGCATCGATGCTCCGGAAAAGTGGACGGATACGGTTTCCTTCCGTGTGGTATCCGTTAACGCGAGTAACACGAGAACGCGCATCTCTAAGTCTAAGTCTTCCAAGTGCGTCATCGTCGAATGGATCGTAGACCGAACTCGGTCTGGACTAACAATAAATTGTAGTCGAATATGAGACTCGGGAACAATCGCGTTGTCGTACTGGATCAGAGGATCGTTGGTCGGTTCTCGGAGCTAATTGCAAATTTCGCGGGCCGACGTTTGTTCCCGCGATTCATCGGAATTGAATTTCATCCTCGGGTCAGGTAATCTCGGCGGTCGATAATAGACTATAGATTATACGTAAGAACGGTATTTCACCGACAGAGCGGAGAGATTAATCGAAGGACTGGAGAGGTCCATTATCCCGCGAAATAACGCGGAGTTTGCAAGGGTATCGTCCGTTAATGGCCGGTGACAGTTCCATCCCCGGCCGGTGAAAGCAATATCGACGCGAATTAAGTAATAACGCCGTGAAGCACCGGATGTAATTCCCCGCATAAACATCCGGCGTCCAATTACGCGGTAATGCAATTTCCAGCGCAGCCTCTCGCGCCTCCTTCTGCTCCGTTTCCCAGATTTCTCCGTTTCGAAATACCGTAAACGGCAATTTTCCTCAACGAATCGGATCCTACGAACGTTCGTTCAGACTCGGAGCTCCGCCGGTGAACCGAGTCAACGAGCCGTTCGTGACTCGGTTCCGGCCGATTCGCGATCCAGGCGAATTGGTCGTCGATCGTGACGCGAGTCCGGTTCCCACGACATTGCAATCTTTGAGCCAAGTGTCGCACCGCGCTCGAGACACTATTTACGGTCTCGACGTCGCCGTAATGGACGTTCATCCGTCCCGCGGTCGCTTAACTCCGATCCGTCGGACAATGCACGCGCTCCCTTCGCTATCAACGTTCCTGTCTGAAACACCCCCGGACAGCGTTCCCGTGAAGAATTCCCCGCTTTTCACCCTTTCCTCGCCGGTCCATCGATCATCCCTCGGATCGTGGCAGACGCCACCCTCCCTGCCACCCTCGCCGTGGATCCTCGAAGGAACCGAGGCGAGGGTCCGACGAACAAACGCTGCCGCATGCCGTCTCTCTCTCTCTCTCTTCCGAGTCAAAACACCCCTCGGCCAGCGAGAAGTTGCGACGGCCTACCCCTCCTGGTTGCACGTGTGAGAGGCTCGCGTGCGTGCAGCCCGTGGACGTGGATTATATCGGCACATGCGCTCTGCGTTGCGTTGTCGCCGGAAAACCGGATACAGCCGCCGGCGTGTCAAAACTATTCCCGCCTCGGTCTCGGTGCCTCAGTACGGCGTGGTTCTCGCGAGTAGACGTCAGCGACTCGGCTTCATGCCTCGTTTCCGGTCGTCGCGTGCTCGCTTCCTCTCCCTCGCAGTCTTACCTTTAAGCAGAGATTCGCTGCTCTCTCGTAGTTCGCGTCTTGTTGCACCCTTCGGTCTGCTCGAGCCAGGCCTCCGGTGCTCGCGTCTTATCGCGGTTCATTCGTTCATCGTTTCCCGATCGGGTAAGCATATTTGCAGTAATCCTTTCTTAAGTGCGACAAATCGCCGTGTGTGGAACTGTCCTACCGATACGTGGCATCGCGGATCAGCTGTGCGTCGATCGTTTTACGCGTTGTTTCCTGCTTCAAAATTAAAACGAACTTTGAACGACTGCGTCGATGCATTCTTACGTTTTAACGGGCAACGATAGAGTTTATCCTTGGTAATAAAATCAGTAAATGTCGCATTGTTTCACGTGAAAATTCTCGCGGACAATCGAAAATGTTACATGAATATTCAAATAGAAAGCAATTCGCCTCTCGTTTCTTTCATTTCGGTCTTCTGTTTTCAATTCCCGGCGCGTTTCCCGTGGGCAAACGGTCGAGCCGAAATATTCAGGGGCCAATGGATCGACCCGTGAACACAATTTTTTAAATTCAAATACGCGTTCACGGGCTTCGCGTTGTTCATGGAATCGCCACGGGAGGGATGCCCTCGTGAAATCGATATACACGGACTCGAACAGTTATTAACATTCGTGTCGTTTGATAAAACCGCGGCTCGTGATAAAGGACTGATACGCGGATTTCCGGCTCGACGATCATCGGCGACGGTCCGATCGCGCGATTTTCTTTGCTCGATAAGTTGATCCGACGCGTTTAGTCTCTCGGTCGTCGATCCTCGTCTATAAATCCCGATGAATTACCGAGCTTCGGATAACGCGGTAATGCGACATGAAGTAGATTTTATGAGTACAACGGACTCGTACGCAACGTGGTATACATGACACAGGATAAAATGATTGAGCGACGAGTCATTCTATGCGATACTGATTTATCCGATCGGATTTATGCCAAGGAATTGTTCTGTTTTCGTTGTTTGCAGAGGCATGAGCTCCGAGGGCGAGACCGTGGACCAAATCGAATCGAAGCGTCCAGCTTCTTTCTGAATGGGTTGCCGAGCTTTTCCATACGCTGCGAGGGGCCCGATCCTCGCGTTCGCAGCGGCACCGAAGAGCGTATCGAGTGAATTGCGATAGAGGAGCACCCTCGACGCGTCTGCTCGGACAAAAGGGACACACGCGGCTCGAATCCCTCTCCGGCTGCCCTCTCGTCGTCAGACCCTATTTTACCATCCCCTCGCTTCTGGCAGAGGGGACGACCGAAGGTCGACCGGCCGTCGATCCTCCTGGATTCGAGACGAGGTAACTGCTTCGACGTTGTCCGATCGCCAACATTCGGAAACGATTCTAGAGAAAATAGAAATAAACGTGTGATAATAGCGCGTGAGTGGAACGAACGATCTTGATCCCTTTCGCGGCTATCGACCGCAGCTCGACCGCAGCTCGACCGGCGGCGATAGTTTTTGGCGTGTAGAAATCGCAGACGGGGGCGAGAGTCGCGGTGACAGGTACGATCGATTATCGCGTGCGAACCGACCTTACATCGCGGCACATCGGGAGACAGAAGGTTTCTGGTTCACCGTGTCTCTGGTTCACCGGGTCGTATTTATCGTTCCCGTCGGAATTGGATCGTTCCCACTCTCTCGCTTCGACGATTTCCCTAACTCGATAAATTTAATCGCAGAGATCGATCATCGAACGTCGTCCGCGAGTCTTACTATTATTGCCGCGTTCGTTTTTCCTTTAAACACCGTCGTAACAATTTTGGAGCTCATCGTGTAGAGAGAAAATTGCATTAGCTAGAGTTCCGGAGATAGTGGTAGTATCGGAATTAAATCTGAAACGAGAACCGTTCGTACTGGAAAAAAGAGAAATATCGTCGTGAGTCGCGCGGGAAGTCGCGATTTATCAGGACGCGTGCGTTATTGCCCGGGCATATCGGGGAAATATCGAAAGAAAAGGATGGACGAGGAAAGTAAATAGCCTCGGCTATGAATTACGAGGGCGTAGACAAAGAGGGCTGGGGGGCTGCCACGGGGTTGATTAAACGTCCGCGAAAATTATCACCGACTGTTTTGACCGTCCGTGGAATTGCCCGATCGATACCCGTTAACGAGCAACGCCAAACGAACTTCGTGCCATTATTATTTTATGTTCGTCGTGCGTCACGTTTTTGCAAAAAATATAATTCTTAAATCGAAGTCGACGACGTTTCGTTTTGCATAAAGATCGATACATTCGCAGACGGTGGCGAGACCGCAGCGTCCCATGAAGCCGAACGGTAGCAGCAGAGTCGGGGAGCGATCGTCGAGCATCGACACGGGATCGAACTTGAGTCGCGGGTCCAGGTGAATCGAGATCGATCTGCGAAGCGAATCCTGTTTGCGGACCATGTACAAGATCCTGAGGCGCGGCTCGAGCCGCATGTTCGTCGTCCTGGCGGTCTTGTTGACGTTGCTGCTGTGCCTATACTACGTGAACCAGGCGCAGGCACCGGCTACCGGTCCGTCGGCTGGGATCCTGAACGACGAGCTCAGGTACGATCGCGGGCTCACCTCGATTGCGCCCGATTACGTCGAGTCGCCCGACGCCAAGATATCCCTCGACACCTGCCCCATCATCGTCCCCAGGAACGTGGACATCGACACCCAGCAAGAGTTTGAGAAGTTCGACTTCCAAGTGAGTAACTTTTAATCGTCCGAAGAGGAGACGGTAATATCTTTATTGCTCGGTTTACTGCGGATGCAACGCATCTCGCATAAAAATCTACTGCCGCACAATTTTCTAAGTTTTCTCGGCGTCGGTGAGTTTCGAATTAAATTCTTGGCCCGATCGGTCGAGCGGCGAGATCTTCCACGACGGAAGTTCTGTTTACCGTCTTGAGATTCGCGAGAAGCAGTCGGGAAATTAATTTTCCCGACCGGGATATTTATGGTTCGGGTCAAGAACGATCCAGAGCGTGGCGTGTGTAAGTCTGGAAGTCCAGTTTTACAGCACCGTGTCATTAGCCGTGGGAACTTTGCTCCCTGGGGCGAGACCGCGGACTTCGCTGATTTAATGGACGACCCCTGTAACGAGACATTTTTTCTCTGCTCCCCGTCCTCCTCCGGGCCATTGAATCGAAAATAATTTAGCAGTTTCTGCCGGGTTTCGCAACTCTCCGTGATTGGGAAGTTCGTAAGTCTGGAACTCGCCAACTTGCAGAATGGCTCGCGTTGGATAATTTAATACGCGAGAAAACAGCGAGCAAGATGAAAATTTCGCGTCCGCCCGAATCAAGTAACGCGCGAATAGTAGGTAGCTCGTCTCGAGTGACGTTTGTTCCGCGGAAAGCAGCGACGATCGTTCAACGACCATTAGCGACCGAACAGTGGACAAGACAGAATCATCGATTCTGCGGGTCGTCCCGAGCCGTTCCGCCGAATTAAACGATCATCCGGGTAATTCGCGTTAATTCCCTTCCAGAAACCGGAAGTCTTAGTTGAGGAACAATTGCTTCCAATTGCAAATGTTGATTCGGTGACGAAACGAACGAAACCGTGCACCGCGTTGGAACGCGCGAAGTTTTTGGTGTGCAAGCCTAAAAAGTTGGAATTCTTGAAGTTTTTTGGAATATATTTCGATATTTTTCAATATTTTGACCAAAAAAAATTTTTCATTTTTTTCGAGATTTTTCCAAGGGNGGCTTCACCCCTTCAAATTTTGCGAAATTTTCGTTTTTTGCCAATAACTCCCAAACCGTTTGATTTACGGAAAAATTGCATCAGATCTTTCTTGTAGAGGACGACGAGATCTACAATTTCCGTATAAAAGTTTCTTGCTAGCGCCAATAGTTAACGAGTAATTTGCAAAAAACTGTTTTTTCGTTTTTTGCAAATAACTCGTAAACTATTAATGCTAGCGAAGAACTGTTATATGGAAATTGTAGATCTCGTCGTCCTCTACAAGACAGGTCCTATGCAATTTTCTCATAGGTCCAACAGTTTAGGAGTTATTGGCAAAAAACGAAATTTTTTGCGAAAAGTTCGCGGTTTCGAGGCTGGGATGGTCGGATTTTGTCAACATCAATAAAATGGCAAATAATCATATGTAACTTGTTAAATACTCGAATTAGAAGAAAAATACATAAAATCTTTCTTGTAGAGGACGTCAGTACCTTTTTCTAAGGTACATAAACTTTTGGGATTGGCTGTATAGCCAATACGTCCTTAATCTGTTGTGGCTGCGTTCGGCGCCTGCTGGGAAACGAAATTTCGTTGAGGACTGTACCGGGAAATTCGGGTGGCACGGCCACTACGCGTAAACGGCGTCGATGAACATTCGCCGAATTGAATTATCGTTCGCAGAAAGTTTATGTTGGACGGTGATTAAATCGAGCGGGTTTAATTAATATGTTCGTTCCTCCCCGGATAATAATCGCGCCGGGTCGAAACGATATCGACGAGTGCTCGCTCGCGCCAAGTAGAGTGCACTTTACGCGAGATCGAGCGGCCGGTTATCGCGATGGGGTCGATTACGAGCACTCGAAACGCGCGGTTGCGTTAATCACGAGTTCTTCCGGCCCGGTAATTTAGTTTCGTGTCCGAAAACGATCGAAATTGCGCGCTTTGCTCTCCACCTGGTAATTGGCAAGATGCGTCGGTCGTAAAAACAGTCGTTCTTTCGTTTCGAAAGCGTCCCGACGCGTCGCGAACGATCTTCGTCGAACCTAACGGCGATGTCTGGCGAGTTTCAAATGCACCGTGTCGGAAAAACGAATCGCAGGTACTTAATTAGGTTGGCAAGCAGAAAAAGTGGCGACCCTCAAGTTTTATAACGTAATTTATACCGGAAGGCGATACCGCGAAGTTTGATTAGTTTACGGATTCGCGGAACGAATGAGAAATCCGATTCCATTCCCGAAACGGTTCGGACTTAGGAAAAACTAATTAACCTTTGATCGCCGAGTTTGAACTCGGTCGTGTGATATCCGAAAACTGCGAAACTCTCTCCGGGGACGAATTCTCGTTTATAAAGACGGGCGACGGAAAACGTCGCCACGTACATCGCCTTCGTACAAAGATAATTGCCGAGTGAAACATTTACGTCGTTCTGTTTCGTAGCGAGCGCGGACGGGAGCGTGGTTCACGGTGAAAAATTTGTTTTCCCGGCTGGCGCGTCGTCGATCGCACGACGAAGAGTCGAGCAGCCGAGATTCAAGGTCCCCTCGCTTCTCATCCCCGTCCCTGGAACGGCGTACGCCAGGCAGACCGCGTTTCGCAATTTGCTTAAGCAAACCTTTCTAGAAATTCATATCCGTCGTCTTCTTCTCGGCTCCCTTCGAAATCCTTCTCAGCCCTCGCGACGCTCCAGCCGAATATTCGTGTCCAAAGATCCCCTGTCTCTCCACCCGGTCGGTCTCGCCCTTCTTCGGGGCCAATTACTTTTGGATTTCCCGTCTGTTTTTTAATCTCCCGTTTTACGTTCGGCTCTCCGCCAAACTTTTCGAGAGTCGAAGACACGTGCTCGCGTAGCGAACGATCTATCCGTATCTCGCGAAGCTTCGATTCTCCGGCTATGATTCTGAAACGGGCGCGTGCACAGGCGTTCGAAGCCGGGAGCGGATGCTACCTCGAACGCGTAGCCTCCAGCTCGAGCTCTCGACTGCAGTTTGTTCTTTGACGAACGCGACTGCGGATTCGATTTTCTCGCGATTCGAATCCCAATCGAGTTTCTAATCTGATCCACGGCCCGGAAATGGCACGTTTGTTTCATCTTCTAGATCCGTGACACGGCTTCGGGTTTCCGTGCCGGCGGAATTTCCAATAGGAGAAACCGATCCCTGCATCCGACGCTCTTCACGGTGATGAAATTGAAACGGTCCGCTTCTGAAATATAAATAATATCCGTGGATCGAATACCGGCCGACCAGGGACGACGAGTCCTTTGACCTATTTCGGGTACCCGTTTCCTATTTATGACTTCCGGGACTGCAAACTGTTACGGTAGCCTCCGTTCGATCCGCCGAATTTCCAATCGAATTTTGTTCCGCTTCGTTTCGCCGGTCACTCGCCGCGCGTAAAGATGCGCCGTCGGATTGTAATCGCGACGATAGTCGGATCCGTCGATGATAATTCGAGTAACGAGGAATAAACGAGGATTCGATCGAAGCGGGAAATGCCTCCGTGAGAAACGCGACCACTCGAGCGGAACAATTTCATCGAGCGTGAAGTATAAGTAAACTCGTGCGCGATTGCCGGCCCTTAAGCCCTCTTCTTTTTCCCCGGGTGCCGCACAAAAGACACCCAACCGTTTTCCCTGGTAATCCCTGCGGGACCTCGTTATCGGATTTGCTCGCGACCCCTCCCGGAAAAATATCGTCCGCGACGACGAGACGCGCTCCCGTGTCGGTGCATAATTGCACTCGCCGGTGAACGATCGACCGTTTTTTTCCAGCCAAATCTCGGTTCAGCGATTAGAAACTCGTTACGGATTTATTATACCGATACTCCGTGTTGTACGAACCGAAGGAACGATCAATCGGAAGCCGATCTTGATCGCGAGCTGATTTCACGGCATCACGTTTTAAATGTTCCGTGCTTCGAACGTCTCTCAGAGGACGAGAAGAAAGACAGTGTTAATTGGAGAAGATTCTTCCTCGTCGGATCGAACCGTGTTAGAACCTTTATTCAGCCGCGGAAAAGGACACGTTCCTTTCGTCGCAGTACTTTCCCGTGGCGAGTTCGAAATTTTCCGGAACTTCTTTTTCCCTCGTCCAATCGGGAGAGCGTGCGACCTCGTTCCGGCTCGTTTCACGACGAGATTCCCAGAAGGATCGGTCGATCCAGCGTATCCTTCGGGACCAGCTATACGACTATGATTCCGACCCGACCCGGAACAAGATCTTCGCGTCGGGAAGTAGGTTCGTTTAAAAAATTGTTCGATGAGACGGAGCGAGGGAGGACAGTAATCTCGGAAATGCCTTTGCAAATCAGAGCGAGCGCACGTCTTATTTCTGTCGGCTCGAACGACCATCCGCTTTCCCGTCCCTTTCCGGTTCCGCCTCGGCCCGTCTCGATTCCTCTCCGGAGGAGGAAGGGGCAGAAGCAGAAAAAGAAAAGAAGCGTCCTTTGAGAAACATCCTCTGTTCCCTCCTCTCGGCGTTCGAGCCACGGATGCCCTTTATACGCGCGTATATAAAATACATAAGGGCTCTTTCTCCGTCTCCAGAGGGTTTACGCCGCGTTTCGAGCCATCCTGGAAACTTCCAGGTTCTTCCCCTCCGGTGGAAAATGCGATTCTCGGAAACCGTGAGACGAGTCTTAATAAGTCTGGGCGATCGTTATCGGGGACGATTTTATTCGCGTCGGGTCGACCGCGCGGTCGTTCTCCACAGAATTTTCTCTGCCACGTTTCTCTCTCGAACTCTCGACCCCTCGAAAAGAGGTCGAAAGACACGCTGTCTCCCGTTCGTTGCCCGCCAGAACCACGGGACCATCCGCGAGACGAACTGGAAGTACGTTCAGAGACCGTGTGACGCGAACAACGAGTAGTCTGTAAACGGCAGGAGAAGAAGACGTCAGCGTCGTCGGGCGGGTATTAACGCGGCAGCCGTGGGAGAATTAACGCGCAAACGTAGTCTTCCAGGACACGACGTTCCACTTGGCCTGGCCCGGCCCCGGGTACACGCTTCTTATTGT